ACCTACCTCTGCCTGATGGGATTAAAGACAGGCACTTTCTAATAAATATAAGAAATGCCTTTGAAGCAAAAAAAAAAAAAAAAAAAAAAAAAAAAAAAAATTGTGAAGCGATACTATTAAGAATGGCACTCACGGGCTGGAGAAATGGCTCAGAGGTTTGTTTAGAGCACTGGCTGCTCTTTCAGAGGCCCTGGGTTAATTCCCAGACCCCTCATGGCATCTCATGATTGTAACTCCAGTCCAAAGGATCTGGCACCTTCACACAGATAAGTATTCAGGTAAAATACCAATGCACACAAAATAAAACTTAAAAAGCAAAACAAACAAACAAACAAACAAAAACAAATGGCACCACAGTATCTCACATCCTGTTTGTGGATTCTACAAGAGATTGCCAACAGGAGCGTTGTTTCTCCTGAGCAGCAGCTATTTCCTATTTTTTTTTTTTTTTTTTTTGTAAAGGTTTGTTTTCATTTTAAGTATATGGGTATTTCTGTGTAAGTAGTACCCACATAGTCAAAAGAGAGTATCAGCTGTCCTCTAACTGGAGTTACAGATGGCTGTGAGCACCCAATGGTGCTCGGAATCTGGGTCCTCTAGTACAATCAGCACTCTTAACCTCTGAGCCATCTCTTTAGCCCCAATTCCTTTTTAAATTTCTTTTATTTTTTTGAGATTATAATATTACCCTCAGTTCAGTTCTCAGCATTTACTGGCTCACAACCATCCAGCTGTGGACTGGAACCAGTACCAGGAGATCCAATGCCCGCTTCTGGCCTCCTTGAGCACACTGCATATACATGGCAAACTTAACAAACACGAAGACAAAACACTTATGTATATAAAATCTTCTAAATGGAATCTTGTTACAGGGGCTAGAGAGGTGGCTCAGCTGTTAAAAGAATTTGCTGCTCTTGCAAGAGGACCTAGGTTTGGTTTCCAGCACTCACCTTGGGCATCTCATAGTAATTTAATTCCAGTTCCAGAGAATCTGATGCCTTCTCTGACCTCAGTGGGCACCCGAACCTACATAATGTCCACACAGACAAGGAGGCACACACATAAGAGTATTACAATAAAAATATATTAGCAGGCCAGAGAACTAGCTCAGTAAAGTACTTGCTATACAGCCTGGTCACTAGAGACTGGGCACTGGAGCCCACATAAACACAAGACATGGGGTGCATGTCATTCTAGCACTCCTATGACAATGGGAAGAACAGACAGGAGAGCCCCTGGGATCTTATGGGCAAGTAAGCCTGGAGTAGGCATGCATCAGAGAAGCAAACAAGAGAGATGTCTTAGAAGCCACGTGGAAGGTGAGGAGACCCATCCAAGGATGACTGTCCTCTGACCTCCACATGGATACCATGGCATGTACCCCCCACACACACACACAGAGCACAAGCATAAATAAATACATATTTGAACTTTATTCATGTGTCTGTATGCACACAAATGTGTGCCTGCCTACAAAAGCCAGAAGATCCCCTGGAGGGGAGTTAAGGAGATTGTGTGAGTCACCTGACATGGGTCCTGGGAACCAAACACCAGTCTTCTAAAAGCGCGCTTAATTACCCAGACATCTCTCCAGCACATACATGAGTGGAAGTGCACACCTATAATCCAAGTACTCAGGGTGCTCATGCAGGAGGATAGAGACTTCAAGGTCAACCTAGCCAGTACCTTAGACTTCTCAAAAAAATTTTTGTAATACGACAAAGAACCTAGCAGAGCTTGGTGGCACAAGCTGTTAATCCCAGAACTAAGGAACCAGAGGCAGCCAGATCTCTGTGAGTTTGAAACTAGACTAGCCTGGTCTACACACTGATTTCCAGATCAGCCAGGGCTACATAAAGAACCATAAATAAACAGACAAACAAACAACGAACAGAAGCTAAGTATGAAGCCATACACATTTCCCCAGAATTAAATAAACTAAGGTCAGAGAAGTGGCTGAAACTCAAGGCTAGCCTGGGCTACATAGTACCAGACTAGCCAGGACTACAAAGACAAATCAACAATAGCAAGATGGCTTGGTGGGTAATGGCACTTGCCATGCAGGCCTGAATCCCAGAGTTTGATCCCAGTGGAGGGAGACCTGACTCTCAAAACTGTCTTCTCCCCTCCACACGCACTGTGGCACACATTGTCACACACATAATAAAATAAACGTTTAGTCTGGCTCAGTGGTAGAACACAGGATTGATATACACAAGGGAACTGGGTTCAAGCCCCAACAATAATAAATAAATAACCTGCTTCTAAGTAATTCTAAAAGTTAAACATAAAAGGAATATATTTTATGGAATGAAGCATTGTTCAATCCTAGAATTGTAAATAACTAAATAAAACCAATCTATGGCTTTAAATAAAAAAATAAATAAAAGCAAAGCAAATGCAGACCCTCAGGTTAGTATCTGCTGCTCAAGTGTGACCTATAGCCAGACACAAGGCTCCTGTTTATAGCTTTGGTGTCTGCAGGCTTAGGTAGGACCACTATGAGGTCAGCTGTAAAAAAACAAACTAAAAAGAGTGACCTAGGACCAGCCAGCCCATCACCTCAGAATATAGTTGAGAATATAGTCCTAAGCCCTCAGAGCCTCTACTCAGAATCCATAGCAGGGTCTTTAGATAAACTGCTACGCACTGATGTTTCTCAAACACCAGGGTAGCGAGTAGGACTGTTTCAACCTTCTAGGAAGGGTCAACTACAATGGCTTTAAAAATGCCCGCTGACTGTACTCTTAGCACAGAACAGAACACAGAAATTTATTTATGCCCTATGCAACAGACACCTGAAAAAGCTCCCCTTAATAGCTAACTAAAGAATGTCAAAGTCAGAGGGAATCCCCACAAAGAGTAAGAGTCCTTAGAAGGATTCAAGATAAATTTTGGAACAGTAAAACCAGAATTGCACACTTGAATTTTTCTTCTGAGTTACAAGTAAGAAGTGGAAAGATAATTTAAAGACAAACAGGCATGTCAAAGGGAATTACAGCTGGAGGGAAATACATGTTTCAGTTTGTTTCCTGTGACACAAGAGAACCAAAGTGAGGCAGTATTCCCCAGGGGTGAAGTTCCACATCTGTGTACCTGGCAAACAAAAAGGTTTCCTCCATTAGTCACGTTATCTATGAGAAACTTTGAAGACAATATGACAGTTTCTCCAAGAGAACATATTAATAAAAGGCAAGAAGCTATTTACAGATCAATTTCATATGTTGCTTCTAAATCTTCAAGATTGTTTTCAGCACATTAGGCTCTCTATACATTCACTTCTATAATCAAACTTAGCCAGAAGGCAGACAAGCAACATAGCTGTCCCTCTTCTCTTACATTATGATCAAGTCAGAGGCCAAATGTATCAAGGCAAGCATCAGGCCTATAATCCAACACTTTGGGATGCTGAGGCAGGACCAATTCCAGTTCCACACAAGCCTAGGCACATGATTCACCAGACCAGGCATGATGTCTCTGCTTAAAACCCAAACACTAGGGAGGCTGAGCCAGGAGGGTGCCAAACCAGGACAGCTGGAGCTACACGGGAAGACTGCCTCAAAAATAAATAGCACTACTGTAAAGCTTAACCAACCCAAGTATGTCCCTTAACTCACCTGGAATGGATGTTAAGACTTTAGAAGCATAAATCTATGAATACTTGGCAGGCTGGTACTTTTTGGGGGGTGGAGTTTTTATTTTGAGACAGGTCTCTAGGTTATATAGCCCTGGCTATCCTGGATTAACTCTGTAGACCAGGCTGGCCTCAAACTCGAGATTTACTCTCTCTGCCTCCTGGATGCTCTGATAGGTCTCTTCAAATACCTCTTTTTATCTTAGTATTTATATTTTATAAGCCACGGAATTGATACTATTATTCAACGTACCTACTTTTTTGGTTTTGTTTGTGCTGGGGCCTGAATTCCACTTTATAGATGAGGAAACTAGGGGACTGATAAGTTAACCCTTCTACAGTTAGTAGCATGGAAGGCTGAAGTCTGATTCGATCCAGAGAGCTTTGCTGCTCCCCTAACCTGTAAAAATGATCCAACAACTTAAAGGCTTTTAAAAGTTCCTGTTTTCTCAACTTTTGGCTTCACTTGATGTTCTTGTTTTCTTCTGGCTTCCTTCCCTTACAGACCTTTCATCCTGCTAGGGGCTGAGGTAACCACAATACAATGCCATGTGTGGAAACAGAGGCCCATAAAGGCTGCCCCAGAGAAGGGGATGCTTTTTAGTTGTGGGGGTAGGGAAAACTTTTTAAAAGATCGGATGTGAAGCTGAATTCATCCCACTATCCCTAAGTGATCCAGAATGTAACCCAGACCATTGGGAGAGAATAAAATGAGAAGTGACTTGTATTCACTTTAACCAAGTCCAAATGTGTCCCAAGTTGTCGGGAGCTATTTCCTTTCACGTCTCCAACCCCATCAATTCCCAGTGAGGTCTACCTTGCTCTGACACTGACCGTTTTCCGCTCGTTTTTTATTATAAACAACACACTGAATTAAACCTGGGCTTATAATTATAAAGGGCTTCTATTAGGTTTGGAGCGTGTGCCCCCGGGCTGCAGAGAAGACTGGTTTACAGGTGACAACTGACAAGGGCAGATCTTCGAGATAAAAAAAAAAAAACCAGACGCCTTGCTTTCCTCCTCGGCTGTGTTCGCTGTGCCAGAGAAGCAGTGGCCGCCAGACTGCGAGCGCCTGTGACCTGCCGATTCCCCGCCACCAAGGTCGACGCGCGCACAGCTGCGCGCCGCCAGATGTGCGGCCCCGCTGTCTGCAGGGCGCGCCGGCCCTCCACCGCCTGCCCCGCCGCTCGCCTGCAACCCGCACGGTCCGCAAGATGGAGGCGCAGGCACGAGGCGCCCCCACCCCGGCCAGCCTTTGTGCCCTCCAGGCCGCGGGCCTCGCACAGGGCCCCGCGCCGAGTCCCAGGCACGCGGGGGCCGCCCGGGTCTCGGGTCGCGATACTCGCGCCGGCTACCGCCTATTTACCTCACTTCGAACCGAAGGGTCGCGTCCCGAGCGGCCCGGGCAGCCGGGCCGGTGTCCCAAGCGGCAACTGCCAGCCTCCCGCGGGCGCCCGCACTCTAGCGGGAGGGAGGACCCAAGCGCCCGCCACGCCCTCCGTCCGCACCGCCCCTCCGCGGAGGACGCCCGAGGCAGCCGCCAATCCGAACCTTCGGCGGGGAGACTCCACCAATCGTCAGCCAGCTTCTGCTACGAGAGCCCGCCCCCTGAGTGGCCCTGGCCTATGGGAGGCCGGACCTTCTTTCGTTGCCGCTACGATGCTCGCCCGGGCGAGGTGGTTCGCGGTCTGGGCGCCCACGCGGGTGGCCGGGCGGGCGGCGGGCGGCGCGGCGGGTGCAGTCGCGCGCTTGGACCGACGCGCACACGGAGGCAGGGAGGGCGCTGCCAGGCCTCGTGCTCTCCCGTGTTCGCGTGGAAGCCGCGGGGGCGTGGCCGGGGCCCGAGCGGGAAGCCGAGAACCCGGTGCGGCGCGTGGGATTGAGGCGAGGACGAGTGTGAGGTGTAGCGAGAGGCCCAGCCGGTCACACCGGAGGTTGGAGAGGAGCTTTCCCGGTGGCCTGCCGGTTCCCAAAATGGTCCGTGGGTGCCCTGACTGCGGTTAGAGAACGAGCCGGGCCGATCCTGCCAAGACAGCCCAGAGACTTTGTCCAACCTAAGGGTCACAAACTTGACAGCCAGGCTCGCCTCGAACTCACGATGTTTTCTCCTGCCTCAGCCTCCCCAGTACTAAGTACAGGCAAACCCCATGACACCCAGCTTTTTATTGGCTTTGGTTTTTGGGAAAGTAAATCTTACTGAGGCCCAGGCTGATTTTGAATTCCTGGATATTTTAAAGTAAAAGTGCATTACCATATGAAGTCCTTGAGTTCACTCCTCAGCCCAGAAGGAAAAAAGTAAAAAGGGATTCATGACAGAAATAGGTCAAGTGGGGTAGTTAGCATTTAACAACGGACCTATGGAATCATTTAGCAGTAAATGGAGTAAATGCTATTGAGCATCAGAATAGCTTCAACTAGGTGTGTCCTTATCTTCTCCCCAGTATGCATACATGCTTCCTTCCTTCTTTATTATTAATATTGTCATTATTATTGTTGTTGTTGTTATTGAGACAAGGTCTCATGTATCTTAGGCTAATCTGGAATCACTTTTAGCCAAGGATGACCTTGCCTGAGATCCTGCCACTTTGTCCCCAGTGCTGGGCTGGGATTGGAGATATGTGCCACCACACCTGGTTAATTTGCTGGTAGACAGTGAGGCCAGGGCCTCGTGTATGCTCAGCAAGTACTCAACCAACTGAGCTGCACCATCAGACCCTCTTCTTTTTAATCCTCGGTGTAAAAAGAACCTATTAGTTTCATTATTGTCTTAATATAAGGTAAGTTGGTTTGAATGGGAAAGTGTTAATGATTATCAGGATTTACAAATGATCACAACCAAAACAATAAAGTGAACCAATGAATGAATGTTTAACATTCAAACAGGAAGTCGCAATTTCTAGTGAAACGTTTATTCCTATGCTATATTCATCTTGATGTCTTCTGTCTATTCATTGGAGCTTTCTGAATATGGGTGCAAATGATATTTTGCATTGTCTTGTGAGTCTTTTAAAGTTTTGTTATTTTTTGAGTCTTTTAAAGTTTTATTTGTGTGTGGGGGGGGTGGGGAAGCACACATATCACATACCACAGTGTGAATGTAGATGGCAGAGGACGTCACATGGGTTGTCACCCAGATTGGAGCAATGGCCTTCATTCTCGGAACCACCTTGTTGACCCTAACTTCCAAGTCTCAATCCCACAATCACTATTTTTATTTCAATTATATGTTTGTCTTTGTTGTTTGGTTGTTGAGACAGGGTCTCACTGTGTAGCCCTGGCTGGCCTGGAACTCACTGTTTACCAAACTGAACAGTTACATTTTTATCATGTCGGTTAGGATTAGTGCTTGCTCCAATCGCTTTGCAGATTTAACCTCTGCAAAGCAACCCATGTTAGGAACTTTTGCAAATACCCCAAAGCCTCAAAAGGAGAACAGTGTAGAGGAGTACACTTGGCATGTACTTCTGTCCTGCTATCTCACTGACAAGGAAATGTGCATGGAGAGAGCTGTCTGAGTGAGAGATGGTTTAGGGTACGAAGTGACAGTGAGATGCTCAGATGGCACTGTCTTGTGACCTTCTGCACACAGACAAAGGTGAAATTAGAAGATTGAGTGATCTATAGATACCATAGGACAGAAAGGAGATTTCCGTAGGTGCACAAACGAACGTAAAGCCAAGAGCAGGTGCTGCATGTGATGTCTGTTCAGCCATCTTGTTTTCTAAAATGTTATCACATTTTACTTAGTGTGTGAGAGAGTTGTGCTGTTGTTGGCCGTATTTTCACTCTCAGCTCTTTTGGCTCTTTGCTCCTTACTCTTTTGGGGGGCCCGCCACCCAGCTCCCAAATCAACCCACACAGATGCTTATTCTTATTTATACCTGGTCTTAGCTTGGCTTGTTTCTTGCCAGCTCTTCTTAAATTATTACAAGGTTCTTTTGCCTTTGACTGCTTCCTTTTCTTACTTCCTGATATCTTACTTTCATTCTCACTCCACGGTGGCTGGGTGGCAGGCCCTGCCATCCTCTCCTTGTTCTAGTGTGCTCCTTCTCCCTTCTCAGATTTCTTCTTCTATCTATTCTCTCTGCCTGCCAGCCCTGCCTATCCTTTCTCCTGCTTAACTGTTGGCCGTTCAGCTTTTTATTAGACCATCAGGTGTTTTAGACAGGCAAAGAATCATAGCTTCACAGAATTAAACAAATGTAGCATAAAGAAAGCAACACATCTTTACATCATTAAACAAATGTTCCAGAGCATAAACAGATGCAACACACCTTAAAATAATATTCTACAAGAGTTGTGCCATGACGTGTGGAGATAAGAGTTGGCTTCCTCCTATCATGTGGGTCCAAGGGACTGAACTCTAGTCATCAGACAGCAAGCACCTTTACCCATTGAATTGCCCTTATTCAACCATTTTTTATAATAACTTTAGAGATTTAAGTCTGGAACAAATTGAATTGGGTTTTTTCCCCCAAATGTATGGTGTCAGACTGTCGGAATTCATGTACAGGCCACAGAGGGCATGCCTTAACGTCCATGTTTCACAATACCATGTTATTAAGCTCCTTGAGGTTGGGCGATGTTTTTAAGCTACAAATGTGGAATTCTCCCATTTTGAAGTTTCTCCCTTCCTTCTCCTCAAGCAGGTAGCACGTTTGTTTACTTTCCTCAAGGGATCTTTATAGCAGCCTGAAAGCTAAGGGTACCTGCAAAACACATTCCTTCCTGGCTCTCCTCCCTCCCTCCCTCCCTCTCTCCCTCCCTTCCACCCCCCTCCCTCCCTCCCTTCCACCCTCCCTCTCTCCCTCTCTTTCTCCCTCCTTCCTCCCTCCCTCCCTTCCACCCTCCCTCTCTCCCTCTCTTTCTCCCTCCTTCCTCCCTCTCTCCCTTCCTCCCTCTCTCCCTCCCTCCTTCCTCCCTCTCTCCCTTCCTCCCTTCCACCATTCCTCCTTACCTCCCTCCCTCCCAGTTTATTTTGGCTCTTGGTTTTAGAAATGTCAGTGGTGTGAAGGGTGTGTCAGAACAGGACAGTTGACACCCTGGCAGCCAGGAAGGAGAAAGGGAATGGTGGTGCCCAGTGACTTTCTGCTCCCCCCCCCATTCAGCAGGGGCCCCCATCCCATGGGACAGTGTGACCCACATTCAAGGTCTTTCCCCTCAGTCAATCCTCTCTGGAAATCCCTTACAGACAACCCTAAAAGTCTGTGTTTCTAAAGCCAGCCAGGTTTATAATAAAGATTAACCAATGTAGGCTCAGTTGGTAAAGTGCATACTATGCACACATCAGGACCTGGGTACAACCCCCACAAACCTACATTCTAAAAAAGCTAAAATAGAGCAGGGCAGTGGTAGCACTCTGGAGGCAGAGGCAGGTGGGTCTCTGTGAGTTCGAGGCTAGCCTGGTATACAAAGTGAGTTCCAGGACAGCCAGGACTGTTTCACAGAGAAACACTGTCTTGAAAAATAAATAAATAAAAGCCAAACTTGGTGCTACATGCTTGCAATCTCAGCATTGGGGAGACAGAGAGAGGCAGTTCCCTAGAACTCTGCGGCCAGCCAGCCTAGCATAATCAGTAAGCCCTAAGCCAGTGAAGGACGTTGTCACAAAATAACAAAGTGGGTGACTCTTAAGGAGTGACACTTGAGGTTGATCTACACATGTACACACACATGCCCATAGACTCATATACAAATGAACATGCATTTAAACACACACTCAAAATGCTATAATGAAATCCATTTTAAAAAATTATCATCACACTTGGGTATCACACATTCAACTAATACCTAAAATACTAGGATTCTAAGAGGCAAGAGGTTTGCTGCAGTTTGAGGCCAGCCTGGCCTATGTAGTAGGTTCCTGACCATCCTGGTTGTATTGTGCCTTGCAGATGTAAATTTTAAAACTAGAATCCTCTCAAGAGTCTGAAGAAAAGCTGGAGTTAAGACAAGCCTAAACTACAGAATATGATCCAGTCTCCAAAAGCTAATATAAATATCTTCAGTTGGGATAGTGGCAGGCAGAGGAAGAGTCAGGGAAGCTGTCAAGAACTATTTAATGTTCTGGAGTAGCAGCACTTGCCTGTAATTCCAGTACTGGGAGGGAAAGGCAAGAGGATTAGGAAGGAGTTCAAGGCTAGCCTCAGCTGTGTAGTGAGTTTTGTATCAATCTGGGCTCTATGTCTCAAAAATGTTTTCAACAGGTGTGATGGCAAGATGGTGTACACCTCAAGGGTTACACTTCCTATTTCACCCCTGGGGCCTGAGTCTACTTATAGGTCAGGGGTGATGACAGGTGGTACCTGAGGACATCAGCACCGTTGTGTCTGATATCTTTAGGGAAAGCTGTTGCCTGCTCTACACAGGAAACAGGGTTGATTATCATAGGCAAAGGCAGAGAGGGCACACAGCACTGCTGAGGTTGGGAGACAGGGTATTAGCATCTTCTGCTAATGGTGGAGAGACTGTTTCA